CAATAAACATTCATTTAACAACATTAGGTGTAACACACAACCCTAATATACAAAACTGATAAGAAAAAACTAAAAAGAAACATAGTTATTTCAATAAAAAAGCATCAAATTTGAAATGTAACGCAGGGAATTCTGGGAATGTCATACGGTTATTCACTGTAAATTATACGGTCTCTTTCACTTACAAAAACGGTATATTACCGTAAAATTAATGTTCAATACATGTAATGTCAACACAGTTTTTCACCGTATATAGTAGGGGAATTTACCGTTAACCATTTAACATGTTTTTACTGTAGCATTTTTACAGTCTTTTACCGTTAAATTCACAGTAATTTTTTACATTGTGCCCTTCCTTCTGATGACTAATTAAGTCTAATCAATTACAGTTTGATGACTCCCTGAGTTGACTTCATGTGAGATGAATGCTGCATAATGTGCCTATTTAATGAAGGAGTAATCAGACAGGCTTTTTTGTACTGTATGACAATCAGCTGAATGAAAACTCTCTCTAAATACAGATATAAAATGTCTCACTGTACCGTCTCTGGCATTAAAGAGATAATTCACCCAAAAATGAACATTTTGTCACCAGGGGGTGACCACTTGTTCCAAACCTGTATGAGTTTCTGTTGAGCACAAAAGAAGATATTTTGAAAAATGTTGGTAACTGAACAGTTGACGGTAGTCATTTACTTCCATAGTATGGAAAAAAAATACTATGGTGGTAAATGGCTACCATCAACAGTTTGGTTACAAACATTCTTCAGAATGTTGTGTGTGTGTAGTACTGTATATCAGGTGAATTTTATAGTCATATATTAGTATATTCCTTTAAAGATATGTATTGTAATTTAAATCTATAGAGCAAATAGATAAAGTGTAATAAGATAAACACTTGAATGTGTATTTTTTTTCCACTAGTCTAAAATAAGTCATGTTATGAAAGCAAAATAGCCTAAAATCTCAAAATTGACCAGTACATGAAAAACATTGGCTTTGTCTGTAGTATGTTGCCTTAAGGGAAGATGCTGGTCAAAATAAAACATAGATTGCCAAATAAATCCAATATTCCATAGTGGAACATAACACCATAATAATATCCTCAAGCAGAACGTGTGAGCAGAGCGACATCCCTGAGAATATCTAATATACCAGTAGAGGCTATCCTTGGCTTGCAGCCTTGTCTGTGTCTGACACTAGCCCATATCCTCTGGTGTGCTCTCACAGACGGTGGGAAAAGCACCAGTTGAGTGTGACTAATACCAGGCTCCAAGTAAATTACACCACTGATCACCGGCACTCGCAAGGAGGTTACAAAATGGCCGATCCGCCGAGGAAAAGTGCCGTTTTACGACTCCTCACCACGGTAAACTTCAAATTAAAGCCTCTGTACTATCCACCTAATGGATGATTGTGGCTCAAGTGGGAGAGATTCAAGTGCTAAAGGTTTATAAAATGGCATATCTGAATCCTCCATGTTAGTCTTGAGGTATCTGTGTGGTAGAGTGAGAAAATTACTGCCCAAGGTTATGGGACTTGAAGAGTTAACAACATTTACCGAAAAGTGTTACATAATGTCAACATCTAGGAGCAATTAAACAATATTATAAAGCTCACTTGTGGATCTATAAGTGGATGTAATTTAAAGGGACAGTTTCTTTCTTCTGCTGAACACAAAATAAGATATTTTGAAGAATGCTAGTAACCAAACAGTTGCAAATCCCCATTGACATCCATAGTGTGAAATTCTATGGAAGTCAATAGGAACCAGCAACTGTTTGGTTGGATGTAATTTAAAGGGACAGTTTCTTTCTTCTGCTGAACACAACATAAGATATTTTGAAGAATGCTAGTAACCAAACAGTTGCAAATCCCCATTGACATCCATAGTGTGAAATTCTATGGAAGTCAATAGGAACCAGCAACTGTTTGGTTACCGAGATTCTGTGGAAGTCAACAGTTGCTGGTCCCCATTGACCTCTATACTATAAAATACTATGGAAGTCAATAAGGACCAACAATGCTTGCTGGTCCCCATTTACCTCCATAGTATGAAATACCATGGATGTCAATGGGGACCAGCAACTGTTTGGCCACCAACAGTCTATGTAAGTCAACAGTTGTTGGTCCCCATTTTCTTCAATAAAATGTTGAGTAACCAAACAGTTGCTGGTCCCCATTGACCCCCATACTATACAATACTATGGGAGTCAGTAAATACCAACAACACTTGCTGGTCCCCATTGACCTCCATAGTATGAAATACTATGGATGTAAATGGGGACCAGCAACTGTTTGGCCACCAACAGTCTATGTAAGTCAACAGTTGTTGGTCCCCATTTTCTTCCATAAAATATTGAGTAACCAAACAGTTGCTGGTACCCACTGACCCCCATACTATAAAATACTATGGAAGTCAGTAAGTACCAACAACACTTGCTGGTCCCCATTGACCTCCATAGTATGAAATACTATGGAGGTCAATGGGGACCAGCAACTGTTTGGCTACCAACAGTCTATGTAAGTCAACAGTTGTCGGCTCCCATTTTCTTCCATAAAATGTGATTAACCAAACTGTTGTTGGTCCCCATCGACCTCCATACTATGAAATATTATGGAAGTCAATAGGGAGCAGCAACTGTTTGGTTACCAACATTCTATGGATGCCAACAGTTGATGGTCCCCATTTTGTTCCATCGAATGTTGTTAACCAAACAGTTGATGGTCCCCATTGACCTGAAATACTACGAAAGTCAATATGGACCAACAACAGTTGCTGGTCCCCATTGACCCTCATAGTATGAAATACTATGGAAGTCAATGGGGACCAACAACTGTTTGGTTACCAAAATTCTATGGAAGTCAACAGTTGCTGGTTCCCATTTTGTTACGTAGAATGTTGGTAACCAAACAGTTGCTGGTCCCCATTTACCTCAATATTATGAAATATTATGGAAGTCAATAGGGACCAGCAACTGTTAGTTACCCACATTCTTCAAAATATCTTCTTTTGTGTTCAGCAGAAGAAACTCATAAAGGTTTGGAATGACATAAGTGTGAGTGAATGATTCAGTGAATCATTTTTAGGTTTAAGTACTGTCAATTAAATACATTTTGACTTGACTGAAAAAAAAATCGCATTTGAGATTGTGTTGATTAAAGCATTTCATATTTAGACCCATGGCACACAGACGACAGACCCGTTCTCGCATTCGTCGTCCCCATTTGGCATTCAGCAATGCAAAGACTGTTCAATATCATGTAACATTTCTGTCAGCACGATATTTCCTGATATTAATTTCTGCCTTCACTACAATTCAAACATTCAGCCTAAGTTCATGCACTCAGCTCTCGAGGACAAAGCCAGTATTGACATAAATGTTCTTACCCTGAGGGCTGCATCCCTAAACATTTGGACTGGTTAAATCATTTAAGACCTTTCAAATATCTGGCACATAATTGAGAGGAATACAGGCGGAGTGATTCTGAGCAGCAGCAAAGGAATAATGGAGCAGTGTAAGAAGACAGTGGGATATGTGAACGGCATGCAGTAAACACGAAGAGCGGCGCTCAAGGCTTGCTCTGGGTCTCAGGAATGAAGAGAAAATGACATATCAGAGACTGGGGCCAGATCAGCAGATAACTGCAGCCTTTAAGTGGCTTCCACGAGTAAACAATGCAGCATTCCTCCAGCTATTGTTTGCAGTATCACCCCATCGCTGCCTCTCCAAACTGACACACACACACTCTGCCACACTTTCATTTGTTTGACTTTGTCATAGCTGTTTAGAAACAGGCTTTTGAAGAGGTTCTAACAAATTTCGGCACCACTCAAGTTCAATACTTCTTCGCTTTTCATAGAAAATATTCACATTAACTGACCTAAATTTGGCCGCTAATAAGAAACAAAGAAAAAAATTTAATATATTAAATATACTTAAAAATTATAGCAACAACTGCCAGGTTCCCATCCAATTTTTATTTTTTTCTGCTATCAATAAAGTAAACATGTAAAAAGAGAAAGCACAAGCTTTTGCATCGGACTGTTATGTTGCTACAGTAAATGCTTAATATAATGCTAGAAGACAAGAAAAGAGTGGAATTACAAGAAGTCAACATCATAAATACTTACATTAACACAAAGGAAAAATGTGGAAAAAATAAAAAAAATTTCACTGTAAATTTAATGTGTATTTTATGTTTTGCATAAATTATAAACCTTACTAAACTCCTAAATAAACAGGCAATATTTATTAGATTTATGGTAATTATCAAAGAAACATAAACTTATATAGTTATAATGGCATTTTCCTTCTAAAGTAATTAAATTTTGTTTTTAGGATACTTCTGGAAACAAGACAAAATATCTAATATTTTTGCAGAGCTGCAAACTTAATTCTCAAAAAAAAAAAAACAACAACATTAAAATAATCACTAGCAATGCTGGTTAATTTTATGTAAAAATAGCATTCATTAATTATTTGATTAATCTCCAAACTCTTTGTTTGATATTCAAAGTTCCTTTAAGCAGTGCAGTTTTACTCACCAGAAGTGTTTTTCTATGAACATAAATAATGCAATGTATAATGTTACTCTTAAGATGCCTGAACAAAATACCATGGAAAAATGATACTGCACAACAAAAATGCATACAACATATGATGAAAATGCGACACACTCTGTTAAGTAGTACATAACTTGTGTCCTTCACTCAATGCCATATCGTAGACACTGAATGACGTGTTTTTAAATATGTCAGAGGAAGTCTAGGAAAGGGTTAACGTGAAGGACCACCAATTGTAATGTTTGTTGGTGAAGACTGCCTTTTCCCTCAGCTGGGAATTGACCAGACGTGTCTCATTGGGAAATGTTTTACACGGGAACAAAGCAAAGGCTATGAACATTCTCTCTCTCTCTCTCTCTCTCTCTCTCTCTCTCACTCACTCTCTTTCCACCCAGGGGTACTCCCTCAAATAATTCATCAAATGAATACTCACGACTTCTGTGGTACCGACTTGGTTGCAGGCTTGTTACTGGAAACATTGCAGCGTTCTGTGAAAATAATTTCATGGAAATATTAGAGAACAGGTTGGACTGCACACGTCCAAATACCAGCAATCTGGCACAGACTACAATGTGTCAGTAACACAGCATTCCATGATATTCTTTTATTGGAAATCAGAATTGTATTGCTTTTTTTTTTTTGTCAGTACTGCTTGACGTTGAATTTGGCATGAGCTAAAATGTGACATGTAGAAGCAAAATGTTCCTTACTCCCATTGTATCCTGAGGTCACATGCTGGGAATCCTGCAAGAAAGAGAATGATATAGTGAAAGTCAACACCTACCAAAAAAACAAAAAATTCCTACATTCTGTGCATTAACTCACATGGAGCAGCTACAGATGGGAAATAGTTCTGCTGATAGCTTTAATTGATTTTACACTAATACAATTAGAGCAGGCACACAAATCACACTCGAGCGGGTGAGCGGTGCGGAGGAGAGACGTCTGCACCCGCCAATGCCACCATTACAGATGGATTTATAGACTCAGCGTATTATTAGCATGTCATCCAAGCCAACTCATGAGATTCAGACCATGTCCTATTAAGAGACAAATAGCGGACGCCACTGCAAAGAGAAAAGAGCATCATGGGATTTGAAGGGAATTTGAATGGAAAGTCCTGTCCTTACTCACACAAGGGTTTTTAACAGGCTTGTTGTTTCAATTCAAAAACCCTCTGTAGTATTATTTTTGAAGGAAAGAATATTGTAAATGTGATAGGGGTTGAACGACTTTGGTGAGAGGTGGAGGCCAGGAGTGGGTCATCTCCTACAACAATAACACAAGAATACTTATTATAATAACACAGGCAGATAGAGAGATTGATAGATTATGTGCTTGCCGTTAAAATGAATCCGCAACATCTGAGCAAAGATTCAAATTCAGGGCTAAACATAATTAGAGATGCAGAAGCGAAGAGGGCAATGAGCAGTTTTATGAAAATAAATAACACAAGCCACACAGTTTGATCAATTATCAACATGTATCCGGTGGGAAATATGATGAAGGTATCCTAAGAGCATAAGTACATACACATCTTGTTCAATTATCAGAAGTGACACCGAAAATGACGATGGTAAACAATCACAGATAATCCCTCAGAAGAGAGCTTATTTATTAAAGGTAGGGTATGTAATTTTTCAAAAACACTAAACCACGGCTTCATGGGTTTTTTGCTCTAATTTATTTTTGGTTTTGTGCTGGTTAGGGGTTGAACGACTTCTGATTTTTTGAAGTCGACTTTTATGTGATGAAAGTCGAGTCGAAGTCTACTAGTCGCTGATGACGTCATTAATGAACAAATAAGTCAGTTCTTTTGTCTTTGGGTCGTTATATTTCTCACAGATTTCAGCTCGTTCTAAATCAGATACAGAAAAATCAGATGAAATGATGATCAGCGGTAGCTGAGAGCTAACTAAACTAAAGATTACATTAATAAGAATGCATTAGTGAGAGCGATTGCGTGTGTGAATTAATTCTACCTGGCAGCGTCTCTCTACTAGTAGTGAAGCTGTGGGATTTAGTTATTAAGAAATATATGCTTGAACTTTTCAGTTTCTAAGCTATTCTATTGAGAAATCACAGAACCGTGTTGACAATACATTTCCGCGCTGAATGATTCTGTGCTCGCGCGATGTGCGCGTGATGTACGAACTACTGTCTGTAATGTGTGTGCATTACAGTGCTGCAGCGCATTAGATTAGAACGGCGATTAATTTGCCTGTACAATAAGCTGTTTAAAACGTGCATTCTCCTGTTCAATTTCGAGCATCCAGTAATATAATCTCACATCTCTTGTGGAGTGCTTGCAGAGTATGCATTTATTTGTCATTTTAATGTTTGGAAACGGAGCGTAAATGTGGAAGTCCTTCAAAGATTTCTTATCCTGTTGCGCCCTCTATAGGACCAGCGACTAGTCGACGTCAAGCTTAAAGCGTCATGGCAGAGCATTGAAGTCGACTTGTCGATTAGTGGGTGCAACCCCTAAAATGTGATAAAATTTTAACCTGTTTTCTAATAGACAGCAGAATAACTGGCTACATAAAGTTGCATAACTATCAGAAGTAACATGGGTCACGCGTTGCCTCAAAGCAGCTGAGAGGTAAATACATTTTGACATCATGCTAATGACATTGCTTATCTCAGGACGTCTGTTAAATGACATCCGGTGAAGAGTGATACACAGATGTTATGACAACAGCCGACAATCTGCTTAGAAATATCAAGAACAACTTTTGCTCTTGGACTTTTATCAGAGTTTCCCAGAGTATAAAGAGTGTGTGAGGGCATAGAAAAAACACCAGAGAGTATTAAATGAGGAAAATAAAAAAAAATATCGATAAAGCTAAATGATTAAACTATAAATTATGTAGTCCTTGTTACAGTGTAATTATACATTTAAGTACTGAGTAATACTATTAGTTAACTACATGTACTTACTAAATGGTTAGGATTAGGGTTTGGTTTAGGGATACTTGCATGTAATTATGCATCATTTATTTTGCTTATAATAGTAAGTACGTGTGTAACAAGGACACCTTAAAATAAATTGTTGCCGCTAAATGTATTCAAAAGCAACATTTTCTAACATTTAATGTTAAAAGTATATCTTATAACAACTAAAAATACATTTTAAAAAACAGCCCATTCAACAAAAACACATTTTAAATGGAGTCTCTATAAATGGTTTGAGCTTAATTATCTCTTAAAAACAGAGCAGGACACTAGCAATGCCCCTAAATCCCAGAATGCACTGTGAAAACAATCAATTCAAGACGGAGAACAAAACAACAGAAATGCCAAATATTAATATATGTACTATAATTAATTCAATAGTGGGAAGTATTAATAACAGTATTTCAAACTAATTAGTAAATGACTATTTTACTCTAGGCCTATACGTGTGTGCTGTGTATTTTTATTGATAGATGTTGTTAGCTAACACAAAATGACACTAAAGCTTTCTTCTGTGAGAAGCACCATTTGTATGTGTGTGGAGTTGCTGCCTATGTCAAGTGTTTCAAATCAGGTTCAGTTAGAAAGAAGGCTATGCAGGCAATACAGTTCACTAGGTTTTTAAACAAAGCCAGAACCATTCTGAAGAATATCAACTGCTTGCTTTGTAAGCCCTATAATTAGCAATAGCATTGTATGTCATGATGCTCTGTATTAACTCAGTAATGTTGACTAATGCGCTGTAATGATGAAGTCCATTGAGTATAAATAGTTTAAAGGCACAGAGGGAGAAAGAAAGAGAAGCAGCCCACCTTTGAAGGGATGGGAAACTTGGTTTGTTCAGCTTTGCCTGGTGTGTGGATGGCAGTGAGAGGTGGAGGCCAGGAGTGGGTCATCTCCTACAACAATAACACAAGAATACTTATTATAATAACACAGGCAGATAGAGAGATTGATAGATTATGTGCTTGCCGTTAAAATGAATCCGCAACATCTGAGCAAAGATTCAAATTCAGGGCTAAACATAATTAGAGATGCAGAAGCGAAGAGGGCAATGAGCAGTTTTATGAAAATAAATAAAAAACAAAAGAGGAAACCGTCTGCGGAACGATAAGGCAAGAAGTAGGACCCGTGTAAATATCGGATCAGCTTTCCAGCGCTGGAGAGAACTCAAGGAGTGGAGGCCTGCGATCGGACGCCGAGGTTGCTTTGTTTCTTCTCAATAGGTGAGTAACACTGTGTCTACAACAGCTAAAGTCTGCCTACACTGGACGCGATCAAACGACTGTTGAAAACCATTTGAAATTTGTGTCAGCACGTCATAAATAGAACCCGGCAGCAGTTTTCTGTCGGGGATTTGTTGCGCCGCTCACGTCCGTAGACACGGTGTAACATTGGTTTTGCTTTGTTTCACAGAACTAATCGTTGCCTGGGTTGCGTACGTATATGTGGGGCGGAGCTATCAAAATAGGGGCAAGATCCTTTTGGGGTAGGGGCGCGTTTGTTTTGGTGATTTCAAATATCAACATTGGCTACCAGAAAACGCTTACCCTGCCTTTAAACTTTCTTTTAAGTGAACTGACATTTTGCCTAATGACATCACACGCAGGAATACTGTGAAATCTCCAGCACACTCTCTCCCAAGAAAACCTGTGTTATTACATTCCAGAAAAATGCTCACAAAATCCATTCATTTCTCAGAGCTTCAGTGGGGGCGAGGCATGGCGGTGGAAGCTTTGAGTTGCAAATGAAATTTATTAAAAGCAACGGAGCGTAGCTCCTGGAGCCAACCAAGGTTATCCAAACACGAGCAGGCCGGATCAGAGACTGTTTACTCTTACGCTTCTCGGACAGCTCAGCTATACATCCCACACATATCTGTGTTCAGATGGGAAACATTTCGTTCCAACAATCTTTAGTGTTCTTAAAAATGTTAGTAAACTGCTACATTCGTATTACATACTAAATATGAGCTATGCATTTTCCTTTGCCCTTCCTTTTTATGGTCCTTTATCTTCGTTTGCAATGATACAGTGGCCTCAAGAATTGTCTAAGTTATGCTTAAAGGAATAGTTCAGGCAAAAAATAAAAATAAAAAAATAAAAAAACAGTTCTTCCTCATCTGCAGAGATTTGGAGATATTTAGCATTACATCACTTGTTCAGCAATGGATCCTCTGCGGTGAATGGGTGCCGTCAGAATGAGAGTCCAAACTGCTGATAAAAACATCACAATAATCCACACAACTCCAGTCCATCAAATAGTTAATGTCTTGTGAAGTGAAAAAAGCTGTGCGTTTGTAAGAAACTAATCCATTAAGGCGTTTTAACTGTCACTTCTGGACAAAGTATAATTCATAATATTGCTTCCTCCAGTGAAAAAGTTGTCTCGCCTGAATCAGGAGAGAAATATGCACAGATCAAGCACCATTTAGTGAAAACAGTCTAAAACAGTCCTAAACAAATATGTTGTGGATTTCGATGTGAGAGGAAAAACAGAGAATGGAGATTTTTACTGGAGGAAGCGTTATAATGTATTTTGGACTCATATTTTGGCCAGAAAGTCATAACCTGAAGATGGATTTGTTTCTTACAAACATGCATTAATTTTTTGCACTTTACAAGTCATTAATTCATGTACTGGATCCATGTGGATTACTTGTGAATTATTGTGATGTTTTATCAGCTGTTTGGACTGACGGCACCCATTCACTGCAGAGGATCCATTGGTGAAATGCTAAATTTCTCCAAATCTGCTCTTATGAAGAAACAAACTCATCTACATCTTGAAACATTTTAAAGTGAGTATATTTTCAGATA